AAAACACCCCCTCAAGAGATTCAAGCCGTTTTTCTCGGTAAGAGTTGCTGAGATTCAGGAAACCCTCGACACACAAACATTCAAGTACGTCAGATCTGATGCTAACCCAGTAGACGTCTTGACGAGAGGAGTACCACCATAGGAGGTAAAAACTCGAATGGAAGGTCCTCCATTTCTGCGGCGCCTCGAAAAGGAGTGGCCAAAGTTCGAAGAAAATTCAAAGAAAGTTGACGAAGAATCGTCAAAAGAAATTAAGTCCACCAAGAAGACGACCAAGTACAAAGAACTAACACCTTTTCCATTCATTCAGAGGAGTCTCCAAACATCGGACAACCGACAGATAACCCTATCTTACAACACGTAATGAAGACCTGTTCAACGTTCGCTATAGCTAGAAAGACTCTGGCCTATGTTCTGAGATTCATTAACAATGCAAGAAAGAAAGAAAACAACACGAGCCCAATTTCATCAGGAGAGTTGAAGGAATCCGAAATACAGATATTCAAATGGTGTCAGAAGACGATCAACATGGACACTGTAGACCAAAAGCTGATGTGAAAACCAGACGAACGAGGATTGTTACGTGCATATGGAAGACTCGAAAGCATCAGGTCACTGCCAAATGAGGTGCGAAGTCCTATAATTTTACCAAAAGGGCACCAAATGGTAGCCTTACTACTTAAACATCTCCATGAAAAACGAGCGCATTGTGGATACAAAAGCCTAATCTATGAATGAAGGAAACGCTTCTGGATGGTGAGAGTCCGAAAGATGGCCAAGCAGGTGACCAGTAAATGTTTTACGTGCAAGAGGCTACGACTAAAGCCTATGGGGTAACTGATGGGTCAGCTCCCCAAACTACGAGTCGCAACGGGCTTTCCTGCATTCAGCAACACAGCGTTAGACATGTTCGGACCTTTCCAAGTTAAAGTCCGACGTAAAACTCAAAAGGAAGCACACGTGATAATATTCACTTGCACGACTACTAGAGCGATCCATTTAGAACTTGTAACCGACAGGAGTACAGACACATTTCTAATGTCATTTCGAAGATTTGCATCACTCAGAGGCCACCCGGCCCTATTAATTGTTGGTCCGATTGCGGGACGAACTTTGTTGGGGCGCAACAATATGAAGTGATATAAGATTGGGATATTCCCAGAATTCAGAGTCCCTTGTCAAATGAATTTCTATGCACATTCAAGTGGGAATGGAACGTACCAGGTGCAAGCCATCAAAATGATGTAGTCGAAAGTCTTATTAAGTCCGTGAGGCAAGCGTTGGATACCTCTTCCAAGAATCAGTCATTCACAGAAGAACAGTGGCGAACACATCTTGCAGAAGTGACATATTTCGTAAACACTCGACCTCTTTATCCCAGTTCAGACGGAATCTGGGAAACCCATCCTGTCACGCCAAATGACCTTCTTATTGGCCACCATTTTCCGACCCCTGCTCCAGAATAAGAAGAGAAAGCGAATCCACGACATCTCATGAGAAGCACAAAAAAACGGGTTCAAGAGTTCTGGAAGTGTTAGGCAAAATAGTTCGCGCCTAATTTTTTGCCCAGAAACCAATGGTACAGACCGAGAGAAAACCTCCAAGAGGGAAATTTAGTGTTAGAAATGGAACCGACTCCGAGAAGAACATGGAAGCTTGGACTGGTGCTTCTTACGTATCCGGGAACAGATGGTCTTGTGAGAAAAGCAAGAATCTAAACCGCAACTTCAGTTTATGATCGACCGATTCACAAACTTTCTTTAATTGCTACGAAGGAAGAACTAAGTAATGAAACATAAGCAACTACAAATGTTACGATAAATACATATCGTTGCTCAATGTAATCACGTAGTAATGTAATACGATTTCCGCACTGGAGAGGGAGTGTTTTGCACGAAATTATTTTAAGTTACGTAATATCCCCAGGGACGTTTCTCTATAAAAAATGAACGTGCGTTTCGAAACTCCTTAGTAGTCTTTAAGTACAGAAATAGATAAAAAGTCGTAACGGGAACACAGGGTTCAAGGGAGGGAAAGGAATACAGAATTATAAGTACAATTAGTTCATGAACATTAAAAATTTCCCGAGCTGTTAAGGTCTGAATACAAGTTCAATACAACGTGTTTTGGCATATTGCAGCAGCATTTACAATATACCCTGTAATTTTTTCTCTCTTATTTCTGTTTTCCATCTACTAATACCGCGAGTCTGACACTGATAAAGAAATTGCTTCTGGTTTTAAAGTGTTCTTTGAAAATTATAAAGAAAAATATTGGTACTGGGAGATAGTTGAGATGTACCGCAAACTGACCCTCGTTTCAGTCGTCCTATTGTTTGGTTCTGAAAGCCATTCTCAAATTGGCTTTGCCGTAATTGCAGCAAGTGCATCAGGAATTTCTTACACTCTTGTTCGACCCATAAAAAG